TTTTTTTTTTTTTTGCAAATGTTGGTAACGGAGATCTGCTCCCTCCCTTTATCTATCCTTTCATCTCCTTGCTCCCTCCTTCCAGCTGCTGCACATAAGGGGAGTCAGCACCCGAAGAGGCTGGGTGCTGATGCCAAAGGGAAGTTCTCCACTGGATAAAACCATTCTGTCACTGTTTCTTCATTGGCAAGAAGCATATACCGATGCCTGGGTCATGTCGCAGCCTGAGCATAGGAATGCACCAAAGGGAAACGTGTCTCTTCTGGAGGAAAACTAGCAAGGCCCATTCTACTCCCATTCTGCTTCTGAATGAAGAAAAAAACCCCAAAGCATTTTAATTACTGCATTATCTTTATTTGTAAGTCATGGATTTGTTGCACTCAAAGCTTAGGATAGGAAAGTGGAGTCTAACACCAAGTTTTGTTCCAGTTGGCGAACACGGCTACCATCACAAAAGCATGCAAAGAAACAAGCCATTTCCATGCAGAATTGTCAAGATCCAGATTAATTTGATTTTTCACAGATTTTAATGCCCAAAATGCTTGGGATTCCTGCATTGCTACAGCCATGGTCACTCAGCAGTGCTAAAAGAAACCAGAAAATGAAGATATCAGTGACAAAATCAAAGCATCCAGCAAGGCAAAGTCTGCTAAACACACACATTTCAATCCCGAATTATGGTCCTATTCGAGGCTCCTGTTGGTCTCAGTGGATATTGTGCAAAACTTAACGGTGTAACTGAAAGGGAGGAAATGTCTGCACAGGTTTCGAGCACCCCTGTACTCCTCCTTTCCCACGTCCCACACACGGCAGGTAGCACACTGGCATGCAGTAGATGCCTTGGGGGACCAACTGTGTCATCGGGGCACAAGTTGGGTATCGCTGCTACACAGCAGCTTCCTCTGACACCAGGAAAAGCTTTGGAACAGCTGCTCCAGATATTTAGATGCCTAACGATGAAAAACAGTGCTTTATCAGATTTTCCCAAAGCATCTCAGTGCCTTAACCTTCCGGTCCTGGCAAGTAGTTCACTCCTCCTCTCTAAAACAGGGCAATATGTTCCTGCCTCAAAGGTACTATGCAGACTTAGGTTTAAAGGGTAGAAAGGTGGTTATGCCCTGTAAGAGAAGCACAGCGTTCTGATCGTGTAACTTACGTTGAGTCTCTACCAGCTTGTAGAGAGGCAGACCTGAGCAGAGTTTTTCAATGGGTTTACCGTAGACAATCCAGTCTCTGATACGCCCAAACAGGGAACGGCCAGATTGAAACTGTGCCCACACATTATGTGGAGAGTATATTGCCTTCATAGTCTAAAAAGAAAACGTTAGACACTGTCAGTAATGTAGCTCTGCCTCCATTCTAGAAGGCCACCCTTTAAGAAAATCCCCACATTGAAAATCACCTTCCTTTGCCTCACACAAAGCATTAGCTAAAGAAGCTACGTGCTTTTAAAGAAAAACAAATATTTTCAATCTATTCAGAAACAAAGTTCACTACATCCTAATTCTGCCAACACAGCAAAACTGAGCTGTATTACTCTCATAATAAGTGATGACATTTGTCAGTAGGTTTTGCTGCAAATGCACTACACTCAGGCTGTCATAAAATGGGCCAGATCTCAAGTTCATCTCCAGGCAATATTTCCAGTCACCTTCATGAAACCTTTCCCTGAACAGGGAAGTCAAAGTCCGGTCAAAGTAAACTGATTTCTAAATTCTGTTCTGCAAACAAAAGTATTTCAAGTCATGTCAAGCTCAAAATATCAGCAAAACAATGAAAAAGAGGAGAAGACTGTCCAAACTCATAGTGTGATCACCCCAAAATAGTCAGATTACACTACTTCCAAGGACTTCCAAGGATCTTACAGTTCTAGTCACAATGACAATCCACTACAAAACCACAGGGCGGGCATGGTTGCCCCTTATCTTAAGAGAGCGTTCGATACGATATCCCCTGGAAGTTCTATCTCGTCAGATCTGCTCCCTCATTGCCAAGGCAGTAGGAGACACTCCTACGAACAGCTGTTCTCGGAGGCAGGCTGGACGCTCCCATCACCCCACACAATTCTGATTCCTGGATACAGTACGGGCTTTGCTACGAAGTCACCTTTCTTTCAAAAGCCAGGCGTCCAATTTCTTGCAGCTCTGGGATGGATGCCTTATTTATTTTCAGGATAAAGCAGGCATTTCGTGAAAATAACCTTGTTGCAATATATCCCTGTGATTAAAAAAAAATTATAGTTAATTAATTAAAAATCGCTACCACTAATATTAGTTGATTCTCTCTACTCTTTAGGACAGGCTAGAAGAAACGTGAAGTGTCTGGACCGGCTACTGTGGTGGAAGGACTCTGCAGTTCCACTGGCAGCTCTGGGGAGGGAAGCAGCCTGCCCACACTAGGGGCTGGCTGTAAGACTAGAAGTATCTTTTCCGACAGATTTCTGCTGCGGTTGCTGTACATGAGCGATGGCAGCCCTTTCTCTACTCTGACCTCACTGAGGTCAGCAACATTCTTCTCACTTTCATGAACTGCCACCACAGGTTTCAGTACCCGTCTTTTAAACTGCACCATCATATGGGTGAAACAAAGAGATGGCCGAGGAGGAGGAAAGGTGATGGGAGTCCAGAGAAACTGTGTTTCAGGACAACTTACAGTGAGAATACACTACAATAATTTCTGAGTTTAAAAACTTCCTCAGAGACCAAGTCTAGGCAGATTCTTGGGTTTACTTACGTGAGAGTAGTCAAAAATGGTATCAGAGGAGTACACGCCAGAACGGACATGGACTTCAACAATGTTGTCCTCATTGTGGATGGTCATAGTTCCAGTGACATAGTTTGTGCCAGGTTCTTTCAGGACAATGGTCTTCGGTAAAAAACACAAAATCATTGTTCATCATCTCGGCTTGCACCTTTCAAAGGTTCCCTATTAGCAAATGTTTTCTCTCAAATATACAAGTATGATTGTTTTATGTCAATACTAAACCCCTTAAGAAGCCTTTAGCAGTCCCAGGAGGCCCTTGAGGTGGAGATTAATTAAGCAAGAGTTTGTCAGGGTGAGAAAAGAGGGGACAGGCCCTCCTGGCCGGCTATGGAAGAACCACGAGGCACCCCAGTCCTGTGTGGCAGCAGGGACCGGCTGGAGACTGCAACAGTCTCCAAATTTTAGCTGGAGCTAAGGGGATTTATGGCCCCCAAATTTCTCTTTCCTATGGACCTGCACAGAGCTGCTTCTTTGGCTGATACGATTGTCACCTTTGGCAAATGCTATTTTTCTACACTTAGCAATAAGCATCTTATTAGTTTCTTCTGTGCTTTTCTTCCTGTTATATTCACCCCCCACCCAGTAATCCGACACGTTTTAAGTGAGTACACAGAAGGCTTATCAGTCTACTTACACTCAGGGCAGAAGTCTGAGTCCAAAAGACTCCCAGCAAAACGAGAATTGCAGCCTGCAGAAGGAATAAGCATTCTCACTCAACAGAAACACCAGGGAGTGCCATAAAAAAACCGTTTGTGAATTAATGGAAGCAGCTGTAACATCTTGAAAAATTACCCACTTAACGTGTATTAGTTGAAAACAAACACAATTCTTCATTGTAAAATTCTTGCTATTGGGCTCTTTTTTGCCTGTAACTGAAAAAGCAGAATAACCTAACCATTACATTTTTTTGTACTTTTTGGAAGTCTCTCCTTGATGCCATGTTACTTCTTGATTTGCATCTACAATTGTAATGATTAAATCCTAACTAAATCTCCCTTCTGATGTTTAATCAAAGCACTCTTTGCTCAGATGATGCTCCCACTGACTCTAGAGGATCACTGTACACCCAAGAAATGCAAGTTTCTCATTGAGCAACCCAAAGACACAATACACAGATCATATCAGCCCCACCACTCAAGCATCACCTTCTCTACCCTTCTGTTTTTGAAAATAAGGAACTAATAATAAGTTGAATAAAAATGGATATACTCACAAATCCGTTCATTTTTCTTTCAGATAAGAACAAGAGGCTGCAGAAAGTAAGAGTGCAAGGAAATCCCAGAGACCTTCAACTTTTATATCTTGCTGGAGGTGTGGGAAACACTTGACAGAACTTTTCTTCATGACTCAAACAAATCCATATCTACATGCCACACTGTGGTAAGCCTCCTATCTGAATTTTGGGTTGGCACAGATAACCTCACCTCGATATGTCAAAAAGACAGCTTTTGTAAAATTAATCACTCTACAAATGGCTATTATTTACTGGTTTAAACTTTAGAGGAGTTCACACTCTTCCTGGTGTCATTTTAAAAATAATTAACAGGTTGGCATACAGAATTAAATGGCATCAGGAATAACTCTGCTATTCATTCACACAAACTGCATTTTGTCTTCTGAAATAGAACCCCTCACAGCCCTGTAATCTGCAGACAAATCCTGGAAAGAAATACCTGTGTCACGGTGGCCTACATGCCAGCCACTGCATAGACCAGTTCTTCAGCCGTTTCTTCCATCTCATAGATGCATGAACTCCTAATAGGAAGTGCTGCTCATTTTTGATCAGTTACCAGGGGGTGTATAACACATAACACATGCGTTGAAATTAGGGGCACAATTAGAAATAACAGCTGTGCTTCACACGGCAATCTGGGTAACGTCTAGCCTCCTCGGCGTACAAAGGAGTAAAACTTCAGAGGATATGTGGTTCACACAAGGTCACAAATCAAAAGGAGCAGGATGGGGATTCCTCCTTTAACATCACCACCACTGTTTTTTGCATTTTATGAAAATGTCAATGATACCGTCATGAGAAGTATTCTCTTACCCTCCCATGACTATGCCCTCACCTGGACTCCTCCTCATCTGTGACTCCACATCCACATTCTATTAGGATGTCATAATTGAGGTCTATTCCCTTCTAATAAAGCAAGAACTCAACCTAACAGCCAACACATTTCTGTAATCTCAGTCATCAGCAAAAAGGTGAAAGCGATTGTATGGAAATCTCCCTCAGCAAACAGGCCTCAATAAAAAAAAGGAAATTGCATGCATTTGCTTTATTCCACCCAACTCCCCATGGAAAATGTTATCTCAAGTGTAGCAAAGCTGTGCTGCCAAGCAATATCTCAGAATACCTGTAACCAGATATCAAATTGTGACAGGCACAGTTAGATGAGGCTGATGAGGTTGATGTTACCCTCCTCCTGAAAGCCGGCTCTGTCCCCTCTCTCAAAAGATTCTTTGTTTCTAAGATTACAGATATGTCAGAAAGAGAGCAGACTTCAGCGGCCAAATAAGCCTTTCATAGCAGGAATCGAACAGGGTTCAGGCACCACGAGCTAAACCAAAAAACTTTAGTAAGCTTTAAATGCCTTTAAGCTAAAGCTCTGTCACGGTTTAACCCCAGCTGACAGCTCAGCCCCACCCACCTGCTCGCTCCATCCCGGTGGGATGAGGGAGAGAAGCGGAAGAGTAAAAGTGAGAAAACTCGTGGGCTGAGGTAAAGACGGTTTAATAGGTAAAGCAGAAGCACGTGCACAAGCAAAGCCGAACAAGGAATCCGTTCCCCATTGCCGTGGGCGGGCGGGCGCTCAGCCGTCCCCAGGACAGCCGGGCTCCGCCACACGTGACGGTGTCCTGGGAGACAAACGCCGTCGCTCCAAACGTCCCCCCACTTCCTCCTCCTTCCCCGGATTTATACGCTGAGTGTGACACCACATGGTATGGAATACCCCAGATATGGAAATACGGCCTGTTGGGGTCCGCTGTCCAGGCCGTGTCCCCCCCAGCCTATGTGCTCTTGGCTCTGTGCAAGCCCGGCTCAGCAGTGACTAAAACCACCCTGTGCTGGCAGCCCTGCTCTCAGCACAGAACCCAAACACAGCCCCAAACCGGCTACTGTGAAGAAAATTAACTCTGTCCCAGGCAAAACCAGCACAAGCTTAAATTAACTTTCCATTACTCATTATGTCTTCATATATTAATTTCTTTTGAAAAACACCCAAGAGGCATGAGGTGCTGCTTTCTTCAGAGTCCCTAGGCTTAGGCACAGGGAAGAGCAGAGCAGTAGGTGAAACCTACAGTTATTTACCGAAGGAGAATGACAATAGGCACGATCTCATGATTTTCACCTTACATTGGACTGAATGAATCCTGATGATCCAACCAGCCAAGGCGAAAAATTAAGGATTCATTTCTAAAAAGCTTTCAACTCATTAATATTATTGCAAGAGGGAACATAGTTGTCTCGGGCATTGCTAGATATACTTCCAACAGGAAAGCCTTGCTTTTTGGAGACTTTTTCCCCACAGTTAATCACACATCTCCCAGTAATACACCTTTAATTACCTTCAATTAGCACGAATGCACTCGGAGGCAAGACTCCCCATGACTACACCACAGTCCTCTAAGCGCCCCTCTGTATTAAGTGAAGTAATGAGCTGCACAAGGAGGACTACGACCCACTCTAATTTCTTTTTTGCCAGTCCTCAGGCAGCATGAGGTTAAGCTGAGGAAGCTGTGACTCAGAACCCCTCGGTGAACATGAAATTTCACAACAATGTCCACATTCTCCAAGTAGTTTTCTTGCTTTTGACACTTTTGATCTAAGTGAAGACTCAAAGTTTTCCCCAAACAAAATCACTTTTTCCTCAACTGTTATACTTGCGGTTAGGTTGGTCAAATCAGGGGAGCCAGCAGAAAATGTTCAGAACAAGCAACAGGTTGTTACAAGACAGCAACATCTATTTTTGCAGGAAACTTATTCCTCTGTTATTTTCATAAGGTCAAATATTTTCAAATACATTCTAGTTTACCCTGATGAAACATGATTAAGCTACATGTAAAACTGCCAGAAGACTATGACCGCTTATTTGGCACTGTCACACACTAAAAAATCATTTAAACATAAGAATCTTGAACATCAAATGAAAAGAACAATTGTACAGTTTCAGTTCAAGTGTAATTGCCAAACAGGAATTTCAACACATAAGGGAGATGGATTCAATCAAGTTAAGGTGAGATTATACTATCATAATAAACTCTCCCGGTGACTCATGGGGGGTTTTTTTCAGGTACCTTTTATAAATATTTATTTTATCAGGGAGTGAGCAGGTAGTGGGAGAAAAGTAATGAAGCAACACCTCAAAAAATCAACAAAATTCTCTATTTGCATTCAGCTGGGCACGCCACACACTAGATAAAGATGGGGTGACACAGTCAAGAAAAATCCACGTGGCACAAGGACAGGTCAAACAGAATTAATCCCATTCCATTAGTAAAAAAAAAAAAAAATAATAATCAAAATTCAAGGATGAATCCAGAAATAATTTCAGCAGTTTTGTTCTTGCTAGACAGTAAGGCGTAGAAAAACATGTGAAAATGTGTGTGCACAAGATGAGACATTCTCATCTGAGAAAAGGGTTAAAACTGGAAAGGCTCTTAGCCTTGGGAGCTTGCTGCCCAGTGGTACAAGACTTCAGTACAGAAACAGAATGCCTTGCACAGAGCTTTAAAAATGAGACACACTTGTACTGGAAAAAGAACAGGGTCTTGTACAGTAAAAGCGCTCCTCCCTGCTCTTTTTCCTGGCTTCTATTATTGCCATTAGTTTTGTAAGCTTTTCTTCATGTCAGCTGCTCTAGCTGTGTGTGTTTGCCATACAAACTACTCAGACAATCAGAAGTTGATGGAAGGTTTGGAGATCCAGGCTTCCAAGTGTGACACATCAGAGTAATGGCCAAATTGGCTACGGCTGTTGGAAGAAACGGACAAAACTGCTTTCCAACTCATTGCGAACGACCCTGCAGGGAATAGCATTATACAGTTCAGTTTCTCAATGCCTTTCCCGAGAATTAGCCGATTAATTAAATTTCCAGAGACTATGAGAGGATTTCGTGACACACAAAATAAGACTTATGTGTATCTTGGAGGCTCAGGACATACCCGTCTCTATTTGGTATCCACAAATCAGTCCGATTAGAACTGTAAATCTTTTCCCCATGTCATTTATTACTTTTACTCACTGTATTTTACACGTGCAAGTTGCAAAACGGGTGCAAAAGAGATGAAAACCAGCTCTTCCACTCACAGTGCTGGGCAGACAGCTGCTCCTCCTCTGCTCTTGTGCAGTCTGAGCACGGCCTCAGCCGCAGGACAAGAGTGCGGCCCTGACTGGTGTCAATGGGAACCGGCCTCACCTTCCCAACTAAATTAAGATTCCCTGGCTTTTCCAACAACAGCTGCAGCAAGGAAGCTCAGCAATGGATGGCAGTAGAGAACGTTGCTCAGAGACACTGGTTTATAAACATTTTGCAAAGTTTCTGCAACAAACAAGGCAAATAAGCTCTTATGCCACGGCTGTGTACGTGATTATAAAATTGAGAGAAATATTAACATCTACTTTCTAAATAATAGTTGACAAAATGTCCATTTTGCTCTTCCCTTACTCATTTTTTGCTATCTCCAGTTTACGGTCCCTTTCTACAGTTAGCCCTTAATCCATAACCAGGCACTCCTTTTGTGAAGAGGCTTTGTGAAGATACATAGCCTATGCCTGAAGCCTTGAAGCAGATCCTAACTGAACGAGTTCAGAAAGCAAGGTTAACAAAAGGACTCAGTAATTCGTATGATTTAGAACCAACCTCATGATTTCTGGGGACTGATTTAACTTTTTATAACATAGCAAGATTACTACCTCCATTTAAAAAATGGTATCAGCTTTGGATAAAATATTAGGCTGAGTTCTTTGCCACGTAGGCACAAAGCGTTACTATAAATTGTATTAGACATCCGTTCTCTGGTTCTGCTTTTTTTTTTCTTTTCCCATCTCAAAGCTGCTATAAAACACACTGAACTTACCATCACAAGTTTTCTTTCATCTTCCTGTAGGTAATGAACTCAATCAGGCTGGTATCAAAGCCTCCTCTTATCAGAGCACTTCCCCAGGAAACTCGTCATGATTCTGTTAACACAGGGCATGTGCCAAGAAGGTAAACCCATTTTAAGATTTAACTTTGGAATATTACTGTATAAAAAGTAAGAGTATACATCAATTACCAGCAGATCTTGCCTCACCTACCATCAAAATGAAGTTCACTGTAAGTATATGTATCACTTTCTCATAAAACTGTTAAGGCTGGACAGTTTTAAAATGATTTTGAGTCTTTTCTGGCGCCTAGCGAGCTATTACTGACTTATGCAGGGATTACAAAGTGAAAATGCCGAAACAGGTCAGGACCGCATGGGTGAAATTTCACTTTTGGCAGTAATTTCATTCCGTATGCCTACTCAGACGTGAAAGGGAGAAGTTCTCTGCTGCAAGGGCAATATTCTCTCATTCACAACTCAGATGCAAGTCAACAGCCTCAGCAAGTTACATGAGGTTACGGCGCAGCTGCCTGATGAGAGCGTAGGAGGAGAACCAGGAGACATGAGAGACTCCGAGTGCATGACTGTGAAGCAGGGGTATTTGTAGCAGCCTGAAATTGTTGCAGGATAAATTCCAAAATGTTAGTTCTACATACCCGAGTCACACTTGGATCTTTCTCATAAAAATCCTCCTTTGAAGTAGATGAAATTTGTGGCTGAGTCAGTATTAGAGGGATTGTTTCCAAGAGAATAATTGTTCACAGTTATTATTATTCCAAAAGAATTTATCATCATGACAATATTAAATCTCTCAAAAATATATCAACAGTAGTTTTGACAGATCTGAGCAACAAGTAGCAGGTGAATCACTGAAAGTGTGTGATTGTATCGAGGGGTAACAAAGGGTTTAACGTTACATTTCCCTCTACAAAAATGATGGTGCCTACCCTTACACCATTAGCCCTGTATTCGGAGGCAGGAGATCGACTGAAGACGCTCCTGGTTTGGCTGTGGCCCGCGTACAGAGCTGCACTGTGCACCCATATTGCAGCTCTCCAGAATAAGTGAATGCACGTGGATGTTGCACAGATCGGCTCCATGTCTGAAATCCAAAGCTCAGGGTGAAGAGTTCACTCTTTTAAACAAAGTATTTCAGACCACTTTTTTTCCAAGGAGTTTACTGAACTGGGGCTGGACATATGCTAAACCCCACTGTGTTTAAATTATCTTCTTACTTGTGCAAAGTATACTGCTGAGTAATTTATATGAATAGGTGATCTGATGTAAGCTTATTACAAAAAATTATTCTGCACATTTAATATACTCCTCAGCTAGACCCCACTTCAGAAAAGTGCTGAGCATGTACACAAGGTCGACCAGTGAAAAATTATTTTAAATTATTATTCAAAATTATTTTAAGACAACAAACAACTGGATGCAAGATAAGCAGTCACAATGTTAAAGTGGCGTGAATTTCCAATGTTCATTGCAGATTGCGATTGCGTCTCTTCTTGGACTTTTCCTGGCTCCAGCCCTCGCTGGTGTGGTGAGTACACAGCTGCATGCAGTTGTTCCCTGCTGCCATAAGAACTAGTGGCCTTTAGCTACAGCCTCTGAAGAATACGTGATTCTGAAAATAAAGCTGTATTTTAAAGCATGATCCTTAGCAGTAACTGCATTTTTTTATATACCAAAGAAAATGGGTCAGCGCTTGATATAATATCAAGGGGAAAAGACAGATATGAAATCAACAGTCTGTCTTGAGATTAGCATGAACACTGTGAAAAAAACTCTGTGGAGAGAAACACATGCAGGATCAGACTACAAAACTCCGTGAAATACCGTAAATAACCCCTCTGCCTGCAACTTTCCTGTTGGAGAAAGAGCAATGAGGAATTCTTTCCCTTTTCCTAGAAATTTTTCTTGTAAGTTTGACTCTGAACATCCAGTTTAATGTTTAAAGGGAATTTGCCAGGGTTTAAATGAAACGACATCTTCCCACAGGCGTCCTGTGTGGGGTGGGGGGAATAGAGCTGTGCTGTTAAAGCTGTCTGCCTTCCTAAGGCGGATGCTTCAGACAGATGAAAGCCAGGGCTAGATAAAGCCCGAATGTGAGGTCTGACACAACAGTACTGATGGCTTCCCAGCCTCCCCTCTGAGGCCAGAAATCACCTCCCCTTTAACCTCATCTCTAAGAGCAATAACTTCCTAAAACGTGGTTACTAGAGCCCTAGCTTTACTGAGTGAAAGACTACTGGGAATCCACAAACTTCACTCCTTACCTCCTTTAATCTTTTTCCAAACTCAGCATAGCAATGAAAACTTTGAGGGGTACGACGATGAAGACTCTGACCTCGACGTCCACTCAGACTCAAGGGAGAGCTCCAGGGCCTTGAAAACTGTCTGGGACATCAAGACTGTAAGTGGCTGCCACCGTGGCACAAAAATGAAAAATAACCAAAAGATTTTTGAGAAACACCGAAGCCTCAACAAAACTTAAGATTTTAGATATGCTTAAAACTGTTCTTATTTAACCATTTGATTGTTTCTGCTGTTACTCCGCACTGACACTTTCAGCAGTGGATTCCTTCACCTGACTTCAGCAGTGTAAGATGTCATACATGTGGCATCACTGGAGAAGACAATTTACCTTTCACCAAAGTCCCTTGTGATTCCCCATGAGACATCTACCTAGACAATATAATTGAAAAAACACTATTTCCCTCCCCTATGATTATTTGTACTGAAGCTTTTTTTAAACTAGTGCTTCTCTCTGGCAATCTGCTTATCCTTCACTGTATATTGTTTGCAACAAAAAGCTTTTTTTTTTATTTTTTTATTTTAATAGGGCTATGCTGCAACCAAGGTATTTTCAAAGAACAGCTGCATCATTGCTAAGATAGACAAAAATTTTTTGCCTGGCCAACAGTTTCCTGCACAACCTCAAGGACAGAAGGTAGGACGGTGACTCAAAGTGGTGAGAAAAGTAATCAAATGCCTGTGAAAAGCGTTCATTCCCTACCCACAAAGTACAGGGTCTGAGAACTGAAGACAAGTTTCTCAGCAGGGCTGAGCTCACCATTGCAGAGGTGGCATTGCACTTGAATAACCCCTTGGCCATTAGCAACGATGTGCGTACAGATCCAGAACTCCATTTTGGGTTTTCTAAATGCTGTTTTCTGGGTTTGATTCTCTGATGCTTAGGGACTGAGACCTTACCAACTGCCGCCCAGAGAGAATCGCTTCATTATCTCCACAAACAGCCTGCAAAGCCTGAGCCCGTATGGAAAACGCATTCAAGCTCTGTGCAGAGGGATTCCCTCTTACCTCGCTTACCGAGCTGCTGGTGAGTGTACCAGTAACAGCGTTTTGTATTCCAAAGTAAAGATTAACAAGATTACACATAAGAATTAAAAAGATTTAAGTGAGATGAGCAAGTTAATTATTGAAATCCAGTGGTTTTCTACAACTTTTAATAAATCAGTGAATGCCTACATAAGGAAAGCAGCAGGTCCGTCACTCTTCTGCAGGGAGACCAGGGTTTTTCAGGAAGGGTTTGGGCTCTAGCTGTTGACAGAAGCCTGAACTTTGTAGGCAACTTCATGCATATACAACACCTAGCTACCACAGGTCCTGCCACAGCACAATTTTGAGATTTAAAACCTAATTTGCAGCTTAGATTTGTCTGTAAAGACCGCACTAACAGTTGCTTGCAGTGCAAGTTTAGAAAGACGCAGCTCAATTTTTAAGTGACATTTCCTGGTACATTTCTAACAGTAAGCTGGAAAAGTTTCAGCTACATTGTTCTCTTATTTTCTCAGTCCAGATCTAATCAGTTTTCCCTTTTCTTGCAGGATCAAACTTCTTAGAGGGAGATGTTTCATGCTTGGAAGTTAATATTTACAGACAGCCTGTCCGTTACTGTTATTAATTATTCCTGATGAAGTTTTGAGGAAGAAAATTCATAGAAATGTGTACCCATGAACAAGATTTTTCCTCTTGATAATCTTCTCTTGATCACATTTTCAATCACTTAAGTCTCTTCTGATCTGTGTGGAAGTTATTGTGCTTCAGTAAAATTTATCATCAACCTGCATTGGTCTGCGCTGTGTTTTTACAAATCCATTTAGAAAGTGCAAGCAATTCCACAGACGTGTTGCTGAACTAGTGTTCTTGCAAAATCCCGGTTTTGGCATTTGAACTTCATCCCGTACAATTTCCCAGTGAGATTTCACATGCTGCCTTAAGCAATTATTCTTCCCTACTAAAAGCAAATGGTGCTATACCCACTTCAGAACCATATTTAAGGCAATATGGTCTGAAGCCCAGATTTATAGAAGTAAGCATATCTGAGTTATTTTTATTTTAACTTCCCATTAACGTGCTAAGTTTTATTTTAACAAACTAATGTTTTATTTTAAAAACAAGTATTGCAATGCAATATGGCCAATTACAGACAGACAGATGCACGATTGCTGTGATCATCGCAGAAATCAGGCTGTGACCAACAGAACCGATAGGTGTATTAAATGCAGTTTGGAGCTGAATACAGATGTTACATCTCTGAGTTTTTTATTATCCCATGAAAAGCTTAAATTAACCACATCTCCTCCAGAAATGATTCAAACTTTACAGAAGCCAGGGAACTACTACTGAACCAGTAACTATTTTTTTTTCCAGACCCAAGGAATTTAATTGCAATATCACATTCTGACAAGTTTCTTGCTCTAGTTGGGATGCCATTACATTTCACAATGTTCGTTATTCAAATTTAAACTGATCCAGGTTTAGACGGATCAGGAAGAGATCAAGAGCCAAAAAGAAATTCCCAAGTAGAGACACGGCAGCAAAGGCTCCAGTGAACCTGAAGAGACCCCAACACGGTGGCTCTCAAAACGTCCCCGTAAGCACAGAGATCTACGGGCAGCAGTGCGGAAGGCTGGAGTTGTTCCTTTACAAGAAAAGATCCTTCTCAGCAAGAATGAGGCCTGACCTTTAGCACTCAATGCGATTTCCACGATCTGTAACACTCACCATGGTAACCTGAGCTGTCTTGAAAATACCGGATCTTGACCTTCCCTAATTTAATTAAAATTGTAATTTAAATTCTGAGGGCCACCCATCAGCATTACTTACAAAGCGACAGGATTTTATCCTAAGTCCTCCTGCTATGTTTTTGTCTTATCCCACAGCAGGCAGAAACACTTGAAAACTCCTGAAAAACTTTATGGACAGAAAAAAAAAGTTCAAGAGTGACTTGAGCATAATTAGAAATCCATAATATAACCTGGTGAATGCATTTGAATACCCTCATGTGTTTTAAGACAAATTCAGGATGCTGAACCCGATTTGTGCGGGAACTTTTTGGTTTTTAAACACAAAAATACGTATTCTCACCTGAGAGGCCGACAGCGGGTCTAACACCAGTCTTTCACGAAAAAATACTCCACAGCTGTAAATGAATGAAGCTGGGGAGGGACAAGTGTGCCAGGGCAGCTGCCCCGAGGTCACCGGGGAGAGCAGGCGCCTCAGCGGGTTTTCCCGCCGGGTGTTCCCGCCGGTTTTTCCCGCCGCCGGGCGCGCTGTGGCGCCTCGGACCCTCCCGCCCGCCGCTTCGCCTGCCCTCCGCCTCGGTCCTCCCGCACCCGAGCCAAAGCAAGCTCTCTTCTTTCCTCAGCAAACGGTCCGTTCCTGTCGGGCTGCGTAGGGGGTTTTCTCCACGTTTCTCTTCGTTTTCTGTTTTAATCTCCCCGCCCCGGCGCTGAGCCCCCGCCAGTCAGCCCTCAGGGCCGGCGCACAAGCCTGGGGCTGTTCACACAGATCCCTACAGGCGCTGCTGCCTGTGAAGAACCAAGGATATAACCCCCGCTTTGCGTGAACGTATGTACCAAAGCCAGTCCCTTTGGACTTACACACTCGACTCGGGGAAAGATCATAATTTAATTTCATGCTGCACTTGCAGCGCTGGTGATTTTTATGTATTAAAAAACCCTTTTAAAAAATAACGTTTAGGATTCCAGTTCAAAAGTAATACTGGAATCGTAACAGCGATTCCCTGCCACAGGCTCAGGTTGTGCCCAACACAAAACTGAGCAACTTGACACAAACCCCTGAGATTCGAAAGCCTCCCTAACGGAATCGATCACCTCTTTTGATAATTATTTGCATCACAACAGAAAATAAGCTGAGGCAAGGTGAAAAAAATTGTTGCCGCCCAAAACAACAGAGAGATCTTCACAGGCTTGCACATACATGTAGTATTTCAGCTTGAACTGCCAGTTTATTGTTAATTCAGTGGCGATGCCGCATTTGGGCCATGTATTTTGGTGGGCCCTAGGGTTACGTGGTAGCATACAACATGTTTTAGAAGGTACAAAGGCTCATTTTTTATTTTTTTTTTTAAACCCTGCGCTATCTCTCCTCTTAAGTTTAATGTGAATTTTCAAAAGTAATTAGTACATGTCAGAAAGTTACTATAAAACATACGTAATTTTTCACTGCAAATGGATTCTTATCTGATAATTATCAGACTCTGGCAGTTCAAAATTTGCAGAAGCACAATCTCCATATTTATGAAGTACTTAGAGCAGGAAATAATTATCAGTGACATGCAGACAGGGATAAAAATTACAAAATAATTTTATTTCAACACTTACCTGTTCCACACCTAATTCGGAAAGCGTATATAAGGTGGACATTCACACTGTTCATTCTGCCTGCGCTAGCATCAGCTCTGCAGTCAAGATGAAACTCACTGTGAGTATGCGTGCTTTTTCTTCTCCTTATAAACTAAAACTTTGACTCAAAACCATTGCCTTTATCTCTCAGAAGTGCCTACGCCTGTCTATAGCAAAAGGGTGTTCCCTGGGGAGATTTTTCTCCTCCAGACTGAGCAACTTGGACTCTATTACCCTAATCAGACGAAGATGTAGGGATTTTTTTAAAGGCTACCTATACATTATTCAGTCTACAGGAAGCCCAATCCATGTCCACTTTCATCAACGCTTTTGCAAAATTGTAGCAATGCGCTAATGGATCAAGCACTTTCTTGTAATGCCTAAGCAGAAGAAATTTAAATTCCTTGTCATTCTTGTAAAATACCTGTATATGCCTATACAGGTCTCAACCACCTTCGGTTTCAGTTCTTAAAAAAGCAGCCTACGATGTGTCTAGTTTGCATTACTCTAGGATAAGGCAAGGGTGACTCACTTTAGGTGATTGTAATTCCAATATGAAAGCAAAAGAGTATCCAAGGAGTACACTTAAACAGCAGATCAGGAAAAAGGCACTAGGATTCTCATGACCAGATTTGTCAGACAAGACCTGCAGTTACACTTTTCTCTTAATTTTTCATTTCAGATTGTGACCACCGTCCTTCTTGGACTCTTGCTGACCCCGGCCCTTGCTGATGATGTGAGTATAGTGACCAAGTTACATATTGCTGCTGTTTCTACATTCCCTGCTTCTTGAGTTTTCCTTGTTTCTTTCCCCATACCTTTGGAGGAAAAGAATCTGAAAGTTCTTTCACACATAAAACTCTAAACCCACCAGATAACGGTTGTGGGATACAGAAACTATTCATTGTATCTCTTAAAAGAACTCTTACGGCTACTCCAGAATGCCACAGCCTTAATTCTTTGTCATTTTGAAAATACTGTGGTCACTGAAGGCACTCCCTGTGGGCCAGCATTTATTCTATTATAGCAATGATTTTCTAAAGCTTTGGGGAGATAACTAACTCACCTAAAATTAAACAACACTTTTAGGCTTTCCTTTTCTAGTTACAGGGTGGAGCGCTAAGCAGGAAAATCTCCATTACTGGAGGCTACCAAATTCTGACCATCAATAAGCAATGGCACGTGGCAACTATCGAGGAAAAGAGCATCCACAGGTCATCGAAAGTCATTCTGAACTATGATATGGTGAGTGGCAAGAAACATGCTTTTTCAGAAGAGGTACAAGGAGACTAGCTCCTACAAAGCTGACCAAAATACAGGATTTGTTTCTTCATTCTTAACATTTTGAATACAAATGTTGAGGTAAAAATTATCTGTGTTTATTACTTTTTTTTAACACAGACTTTATTCCAATCTTAATTATTGAAAAACTGAATTCCTAGTTGTCAATAACTTTATTTTACAGGGCTTTATTGGAACCAAAGTGATGCCAGAGAAAACCTGCTTCGTTTCCCTAATGGACAAGAGGGAGATACCCAGCCTTGATGAACTTCCCAGGCTGGCTGAAGAGAACAACGTAAGATTGTCATTACTTGTAAAGTCATATAGTAATGCAAAGTAAACGGATGTCGGACAGACAAAAGCTTTTAAACTAACAGTTATTTTAAAAGTCATTTAGATCACAGCATCGATTATGAAGTTGTATCCATTTCAGTGACATTTTACATTAACATAATTTGAAACCATAGAAAAGTTGGAATACCCTGTTTCAGATGCTTGCAGTGAAGGGTTTTCCTGGTTTTCCAATGTTTTAGATCATTTAGATTATTTTTGTAATGTTTTAAAAGATTATTTATATTGACTGCTTTTTAATATTGCTTTATGTTTAGAGATTTTAGATTTTTGGCATGGTACTCTTCATAATCTCATATTGTTTGCAGGCTAAAAAAAATATTTTTTTGAGGCAGCTCTAGTTTCAGAAGAACAAATAATACAGTAACGAGGAAAAAAAGTCTAAATAAGATTTCAAGCTTTCAAAACTTTTTCAAAAGAACTAAGCACCATATTAGCATGAGTTCAGGCCACAGAATTAGCACAGGCATTTTAAAATTTATCTCAGCATACTAAGCTTCTGTAGACACTGGCTTCTCTTGAAGTCTGAGAACTGAGTCCTTATAATAATCCTGGCTTTAAAGGGCAAGAAGGCATGGGGAGGAAGAAAGAGGAGAGCGTTATCTAAGCACAGGCTTTTGAGCAAAACCATTCACCTGTAGCTAGTTCCAGACTTGCTTGTACTAAGGGGCACCTCTGTTCCCCTGAAGCTTATCTCGACTCCTTGCTTACCAGCAAAAAGGCAACATATTGGAGTGAGCTTTCCGGAACCCTCTGATAAAATTCCACCATAATTTTGAAAGCCTGTGTCAATCCCAGTCATCCCTGCCAGGTGTGTCTTTTACCCCAGAGTTCATCAAGCTGTTTCTTGACTGCTTTTTCTTTCTTGAGAAGACGAGATTTTCACTAGTGGCAGGATTTTGTTCTTCTGAACAGTAATGTAGCTTGGGAATTTGCCGTGGCAATGATTTTTCAAAAGAAAAAGTCTAGGTGCATCCTTCTCCAGCTACGTTTTCTCCAAGGAAGTTTAGGTCTGCAGGCTGCTAAGGAACGGTTTGTATTAGGAACCCTTCAATGGCATTAAGTATTTTTGGATAGCAATATCTAAAAATAGTTCTATAGCAATATCTAAAAATAGTTCTGAGTCATTTCAATACAAAATCGCGTTTTTCATTTGGGGACACAGCTTTGCAGGTGCCATTGTTCAGACCCGTTTTCCTTCAGGGCGTAGGAGGGCATCTCCACATTCAACAGCCTTTCCTCCCTATTAATTGCATGAGCCAGAACAGGAGTCCTGGGGCTGCAGCTGAATAACGAGGTCCAGTCTAGGCTTCCTGCTGGTTTGGAAGAGAAAATACAGGCACCCAGACACTTTGTCCAAATGACAAAGCACTCAAGTAGGAAAATATATTTGAAATTCATTGGAAACCAGGCACTCTGGAGCAGATCAGAAAAAACGGTCCCACTTAAACCCTCAGCCTTCTCAAAGAGGTCATAAGCACTACTTGGAGATAACGGTAGTGTAAAGGTACCTGCCAAGCGCTGCTCGTGCCCTCTTTGGCTCCCATTTCAGAATACTGAATGAACAGACTTCTCCTTCCATGCTTCCAAGTTACAACCTGAGTACCTCTAGGGTGAGGGGTTAGTAAGTGACTGAGGAAATACTTTTATAGGAGGCCTTGTGTTAAAATACTGACTGCACTACTCCTTTTGTTCAGCTGTTTGATTGAGTTTCCAGTTCTCTTTAGCCTCCCTCTCCCATGACTACCTTAGAAAGATCTGCCACAGGAGCTGTCTGCAATGCTCGCTGTGTCCATAGTCACGCAGTGGATTAAAAGACTGTACTAAATACAGTTTTGAGCAAAACAGCAAGCACCAAGTCATCATTCCAGGAATAGGAATATGCATGGCGTTAAATGGATGGAGGCACTGATCTGATGAATGATGTTATTTGCTGTTTAGCAGTTGCAAATTCAACAACAAGCTATAAAGGAGCTCACATACGTCGTCAAGAGACCCGTCCGTGACCTCAAGTCTTACGGACCAGACATCTTCGCTATGTGCAGAGGAATCCGAACCTATGTGGCTACTGAAGTTCACAGTAAGTGCAAGCAAACGAATTCTGCCTGTAACTAACCAGGCAATTTTTTTCCCTTGGGCAATAATACACAAATGCTGCTGTTCCAACTTGAGATGGACACAAATCAACTTCAGGAGTTGCAGAAAGGGATCGGTATTTCTGCAGATGAGGATTAAAACAGTATTGAGTCACCACCTTCATAAATTATCTAATCCAAACCCTTGCTACTCCTTTTAGTAAAGTTTAAGGTGGCTTTAGTTTTGGCACAGAATTTTGCAGATTGACCTCATCTGTAATGCCAAGGTAAAGAAAAAACGTAGTCCTAAGAACCACTACTCTTCAGTTATAAACTGCTGATAAGTTAACAAGAAATCCCACCAAACACTTGTGTTTCACAATACTACGCCAAGTTGTTTCATTCCCTGTAGGTTTTTCAGAGGTGGAATGATCCCATTACCTAGGAGTTTAGTGGTCTGCACTCCATAGGAATCGCCAACAATGGCAAAGCCTGACAGGGCCTATAAACCAGCACTAGCACAGCAGTGTCGCACACAGTAATACAGCCTAGAGGGTGGAGTAGCGCCCCTCTGTACTGGAAATATCAAAAGAACATTAAATAGCATGTCTTTGTGAGGGATCATTTCTGAGTTAGAGATCCAGTTGCATTGGGTGACTACAAAAGAATCTTTCACTCATACATGTAAAATATTGCAGCAATTATTAAAAACATTTCTTGCTTGGAGCAATAAAAACACACTGTTGACAATGTCAGCTATTGCTATGGAGACTAGCATAAGCCAACTGTCTTGCTGTGCATGCCATAATCCTGTTTTGATCACTTGCAATAGAATTTCTCGTGGGGAAAAAAGACATTCTTTTAAAATATATATGAAGGAACCAAGTTTTACTCAGAGCGAATCCTGAAGCACCAGCACAGTACTCTGAGCCTTACTGCAAACCCTGCCGTGACAAAGATGTTCCACAGATCAGGCGGATGCTGAGTTCTGACCCAGCAGTGTCTCCCCCTACTCGCTGCTTGCGTTGCTTCGATAATGGCTTTGGTACTCGAGATGGCTCAGTTTGATCCAAACCACAAGTGCAATATGCCAGATATTCGGGGCTGCCAATGAATGCGCTGATCACTTAACACCATCTTAGGTATTAGCTCATGGTATATCTTTTTTCCTCCTCTTGTTTTTAAAGGACCTGACTTTGTAGGTCATCAGTCTTCATGCGTTAAAGTTGATGTCCTGCAACTTTTCGACCTTAAGTACTGTCATGCCAATATCAAGTCCTGAAAACCCTGCCTTTCTGGAACCAAGTACGGATGCTCGATACCAACCCCGATGCTGTCCTTCCCTGGCATCTCCTCTTTGGAGAGTTTTGTTCTTGATAATTCAGATGCTGAAACAGATCAATTGGTGACCTTATCTTTCAATTAAAGATCTTTAGCATATATTAACTCTGTCTGGTTTCTCATTACTATACCCTTCATCATCTCTGAACACATCCCCAAAAATACTTTGATTGCATCTCTTCTACCCTTTGGAGCCCTTCAAATGCTCTTTTACAACCTGCTCCTAACGTGGGGCACACCCATAGAGGTGGGCAAGTGTCAGAGGACATACGTTACAAATAAGGCTTACAGAGTCCAGAGCTTCCTTTCCCTTTTCACGGAAAGATGCCTCACGTTAAAAATCTTGATTCATGTGGCATGAAAGGTAGAAAGAAAGAAGGACAACACAACAAATCTGCCTTTTTTTGGGAAAGAGGAGTCTCATTTGTAGGGTTTACAGAGTTGTTCTGTTCCTAAAAGAGAGTCCTCCATTGTTTCCAGTGCATAGCGAGGACTGGCAAGAGGCTTCACACTGAGCACTCAGGTGGATGAAGCTTTGCTTCAAAGATGCATACACAGTACAAACACAGTTACTGATCCACCTAAGACAGTGCAAGACTCCCAGCTGTCTCCTCCCAGATGCCTCTAACTCAGCCTTGGAGATGCAAGAATAGCAGGCTTAGTTTTCCTTCCTTAACACGGCAATGGCACTGTAAAGGGAGATGCAAGATCTACTCCATTTATAAATGACAGGGACATGTCGCAAGAGTCTTTGCGCTTTCCTGATAGCTAGTCCTGGATTCTCTGTATATCCAATCTCCCAGTAGTGCAAGTCTGACATGAACCAAGCTAGGGATACAGTCGTGTTTCTGCTGAATTCACCAGGGCGTGTGACAATGTGTTTGTGTCAGATTTGTCAGCTCTAGGCTAAAGATGAACAACCAACCACAAATGTCTTACACGGTCAAGCCCCTGTCAGGGAGAAGAATCAAAACTTTGGACAGTAAGAAGCATTTGAAAGTAGGGATGTTCAGAGGGGAATTAACGTACAATTTAAAAAAACAAAAAGAGTAGGGCTGTTAAACACTAAAGCTTTAGCAAGACAAGGTCTCTATTGCTCAGAACTTTAAAGTCAAGTTTGAGTATTTCCTCTGTTCTAATAAAAATGGCAGGATGCCCTGGGTCATCCAAGTCTGCCTAAGAAGAACACCAGCCATGCAACGTCTCTCGGTTTCTATTATGCTCTTACTGATCCCCAGAGGCTTTATTCTGTGGCAGTTTGAAGGGATATGGAGTTCGCTTAGGCACATCTCAGGCAAAAGCATCTGAATTATCTGGATTAGCCCACATCAGTCCTAGCAGAGGAGAGAGAGACAGTAGTTTGTTGCTGTTAATCTCCTCCTTTTTGGTATTACACAAATTTAATTCCTTTATACACCATCAGTTCTCGTTTTGCTCAAGCTGAGGCAAAATATGACAGAAAGAGGCAAGAATTGAAGTTCAGGAAGGATTTTAACTTTTTTTTTTTTTTTTTTTGTCATT